AATGTAGTTGTACCTAAACAAAATCAACAGGAAATATTACCGTTTTACTATCAATATATTTATATTAAAAAATTTTAATTATCATTTATATAGTATTAAAAAATATTACCACAACTTAGAAAGGAATCAGGAAGGGAGTACTATTCTTAAAGCTTTTTTTGCACACCCTTCTCATTTTTGTTTGGGAGTTGCCTAGTTGAGAAAGGAATCATTAACGATTAGAGGGTTATCTATGATTTAAAATAATTCTTTTTTTTCCGACATTTAAAATAATTCTTTAAACCAAATTTTAATATGCAAATACTTATTTTTTGATCAATTGTGATTTAGTTGGTAAGAAATTTACCTTCTATTTTATTGAATAAAGGTCAATTATTTAGGGAGGTTAATGAGAGGTAATTTTTCTTAAGTTAAACTCTCACTTTTGTCCTTCAATTATTGTACAGACTTTTGATTGAGTCCTTCAACTCAAAAAATCTCTAATTCGGTCCATGCTGTTTCTCATTTTGGTCCCAAGTTGATCATTCCGTTAAAAATCCAATAATATGTCCTGTTAACTAACATGAGTGTGATAATATGTCAAAATATTAAATACACATGGGAAGGCAACATGGTAAAAAATAATGAGATGACAATAAAAACTTAAAAAAATTATCCTTTGTTCTTCTCTTTCCTTTCTCCTTCCTCTTCCTTGCCTTGCCTCCTTCATCAATGAACTCTTCATCATCAACAAACAACAAAACCCACAAAAAAAAAAAAAAAAAAAAGGAAAAGAAAATCTTTTTTTTTTTTTGCCCCTAGATTCAAAAGAACCCAACGGCTGTTGCGTTCCATTGAACCTAGCGCCTATTGGGTTCGAAGTTCTTGGCTTTGCTTCCTTGCTCTACCTTGGAGATTTCAAGCAGCCGAGAAAAGTATAAGGGTTTGTAGAAGGCAAAGGAAAGGAAGAGGAAAGAGAGAGGGAAAAAGGGAATTTCTATCATTTAGATTTGTTTGGGTTCACCGAACCCAAATCTAGTGTTGGGGAAGGGAGAGAGAAAATGAAAGGATTTAGAGGTTAAAGATAAGGGTAATATGGTCATTTTATTATGTCTAGGGATTATTTAAACAATTTTTTTGCTA